TGGATATCCTAGTTCCAATGTATAAAATGCAAAGGTTCACTGCCCTTCTCATGTTGAATTTTCATTATAGGCAGGAATTCTGGGGAATATGCAAAATCTATACGAGACTGTGAAAAAAGCCCAAATGGTGGTTCAAGTTGAAGCTGTTCGTGTTAAAAAGGAACTTGAAGCGTATGAGCTGGCTGCTATTTTTAAAGAGTTTTTTTTAGTGTTTTTATATATTTTCACAGTCGGCCTTAATCTTTTTCCTTTTGCAGAGCGGAGTTTGATGGTTATTGTGAAGGTGAATTAATCAAGGTACATATGTTGGTCGCCATCTCCTTGAATCTTACAAGTTAACCAGTGTATTTGATGGCATTATGTTGATTTTCCTGTTTATGGGTTGGATATATATATATACACACACACTTCACTTAGATGAAGTAATGTTTATCTTTATATAGATTTTATTTATTTATTATGCAACAGGGAGCCTTATGTGGCGATTATATAGATATATATATACACACACACACACATCACTTAGATGAAGTAATGTTTATCTTTATATAGAATTTCTTTATCTTTTATGCAAAAGGGAGCCTTATGTGGTGATTTGTTGAAAAGAACTGGGATGGTATTGTTATTTTTCTTGTAGGGTAATAATGGCAAGATAAAGGGGAGTATAGAGATGGAAACGGAAGTGACCTATTGTTGGGGGTTGCATTTAATCACTCAGTCCCTTCAAAATTTTCAGGCAAAAGCAAAAGTCTGGAATCTTATTTCACTAGGAAGATGTAAACAAGTACACACAGTAAAAAAAAAGAAAAAGAAAAGAAAAGAAATCTAAAGAAAATACTGAACAATTAAATAAAAGATATGCACATGGAAAAGACTGGTTCTGGGGAGCTATTTAGTCCATTTTTTCTATGCCATTGCATATCTTCTTGGATCAAAATCATAGATTAATATGACATCACCAATTGAGTTGTAGGTACGTGTGACAGAGCACTAAATCACATTAATGTGAAAGCTTTGAAATGTAATACAGTTGCAAATTGCTCTGTATTTTCAGCTTTAGTTTTTTGTTTTGATGTACTTCACTATTATATTCCATGCAGCTGAAAACAATGGATGCAGTTACATATTGTTTTCAGCAGAATGTTCAAATTAGTTTCATTTGATACTTATGCCAGGTAACACTTTCTGGAAACCAGCAACCTATACGTACCGAAATCACTGAGGCTGCAATGGAGTTGGGACCTGAAGTAAGTTGTACTGTTTCACCAATATTGAATGTTATTGTGTTGGTGTCTCTGGTCTATTGAATAGTTAACCTCGATGCTAGTGAGATTTTGTTACTCAAAGAAATTTGAATCTGAATTTTCGGTCTGGATTTCCAGCAGTACAATCTGTTACTTGTTGTTACTTGATCGCAAAGCATATCATGATCCTAGTGTAGGGGTATGCATGGCTTGCACCTCATGGTGTACCAGGCTCAGGGTTATGCCATGCTTCTTATCTGGTGTATGTCCATTGCACAGTTGTACACGATCATGGGTGTGAGAATCTTGACAAAAGACCATGAGAACTTTATAATGTGACCTGGACCTTACCCGTTTAAGATGATCTGTTGGGTCCACCCGTTTACCTACAAGTACATGTTCCCTTTGATACTATGGTTATATCCAATCCTAATTAACCCAACCATGTTCTTTTCTTTAAAAGTAAAACGTACTTTGACCCACCAACATGACCTAACTTGTTAATATTATGGTTGGTTTTGCCTAAAGTAACTTGATCCACCTGTGGGTCGATTAGTGTTTTAAGTCAGCCCAATGTAACCACATCTCAACCTGATCCAACCCACTGGTAACCGTAGGTCTTAACACATGTCTGTGCTTAGTTGGGAGAACTCACCTGCACAGTATGTGGTGATCAACATGTTCAGTTTGTTCTCCGGCATGTGCTTTTGTCAGAAAATGAGGAAGGTTCCTAGATTGAATTTTGGGGTGGTGTAGTGTAGAGGTTCAGATATATACACAACACAACTATGAGAAATAGCTTTTTACTTATTGGCATATATGTGTCAATTGCATATGATTTCTTAATTCTTATATTTGTTGCAATTTACGCAAGTCCTGTTCTTACGTCTTGACCCTATTGCTGTCTGATCCACGTTTATATCAAGTTGCAAAGACTTTGTGCAATGTGCATGTTCAACAACCTTATGAAGATGCTTTACTTTTATCATTTAGACACTTTGGCAGCCAGGCTACTTCTTTAATCACTTTCAATGATAGATTGACATCAGCATTAATCACTTGCTTTTGTTTTACTATTAAGAATCTTGTATGGATTTGGATGTAACAAATTGGTAATTGCTCTGTGCAAATGCATCAAATAATGCAAGTCACTCAGCAAGCATGCATCTGTCCATATTTCCTAATAAACTTTAACATCTCCATCCAAAGCAGAATTTTCATCAGTATAATTTTGTTGAGTGCATCACTAGTTTAATGAACCAAGACCGCTATCCTGTGTTGTCTATTTGCAGAAGCTCTCTCTATTGATAAACGAAGCATACAAGGATGCACACGAGAAAAGCGTTCAGGTTATATCTATTTCTTACCAATATTGGGATCCATCATTGAATTTTTATTTTTTGTATCAGCTATATATAAAGTTATATAATTCTTCAGGCTATGAAAGAGAGAATGAACAACCTTGCACAGAGTTTGGGGATGCCACCCGATCTTAGCGGACTGAAGCAATGAAAAGGCTTTGAGTTCGCCCACTATTTAAGCTATATGTGATCTGTGGACCTTTTGGAAGATCATTCAGCAACGCTATATAGATATGTTCGTGCTCAATACGGAATCGATGAAATAAAGTGGAGAAAAGGATGGTTTGTTTTCTATGTCAGATGCATCGCACTTTCGACCTTTAAGCATGAAACGTAACAGAGTTGAGCGTTGGTTTTTTGTTCACATTTAAATTACTCGACAATGCAACAGGAGCATATACTTTGGAATCAGATCGGTACCTTCAAATATTTAGCTTGACTGAGTGGACAAAGTTAACAGTTCATTTGCTGCCTCCTTGTCATGATGAATAAAGAATTGCTTCTGTTTTTCAGGAAATATTGACTCATTGCTCCTTTTATTTTCTTCTGAACTAAATAATTAGTTCTTAATTATTAATGTCTTATGGATCCGAATAAAAATAATATATATAAAAAGCTTAAGTTGTTGATTGTTGAGATAAGAATGTTGAGGTAGCTATGTAAAGTTATTAGAAAAGATAAAAATAGATATGATTTTATTATGAATAATTAAATATGTTAATAAGAGAAAATAAAAAAAAATATATATTTAAGATGATAAGGATAAGTATTTGTTTAACGAGATAAAATGATTATTATTAATAGTATGAGAAGGGATAGAAAAAAAATTTAAATTTTAGACTTTTATAAAAATTACAAATAAAGATTCAAACACTCCTAATTTAACTAAATATATAATTCATAAATCTCAGGTTACTTTTTTTAACACCCAGAGGGGCAAATATATTGATTAAAAATGCCACTTTCCTGATCAAAAAACAGCACATCGTACCAATTTCGAGTACTTGGAAAATTAATTTACGTACCGAAAGTTTTATGTTTGTTTTTGTCAGCATCCATCCATCCTGAATCAGGTACGGATTCATACCGCCAATGCAGAGTTTGATCCACAACCCCTACCCTACCTAAGATTTGATTACGCATGCATGCAGTCTGATGACGAAGTAAAAAAGAGGCAGTAACGATGATATGTCACCCGTGTGAACAGGTTACTTGATAGTTGGCTGACCGGAAGAAAGCCGCTCACTCCGTGCTTCATTAGCCTTCTCCATATAATCTTGATGGGACTGATGCCTTGTCCCTGCGGTACAGACCACACAGGAACAGGAAGATGGATGGGTGTTAGTTAGATCACGAGGCAATCTTACAAAGAAAGATATAACAGCAGCAATGAAACAAGGAAAACGCAAAATGAACCATTTGACTCAGAGAATAGATACTACGCAGGCGTGTTGTTTACTGTCCACAGATGTAAGACATGAACACGCCATCAAATCCTCACTTGAGTGGGAAGTTTGCTACAGAGTACAAACTGCATCTCAAAACTGAAAAGGGGATCAGACACTGTGTAGAAACTCGTTATCTAAGGAACACCTAAACATGCTCGGGACTGGACCGTCTTAAAACCTATAAATCTAGTTAAGGAACATATTTCCTATCTCAAACACATTAATATCAAGCAACTACAGAGGGAAAAAAAAAAGGAGCGATAACCAGCTGCAAAAATTCTAAAAATTTCTCATCCATCCATCTCGTTTGTATCTGCAGTTCTTCTCCTAGCAAACTAAATCATGTTTCCTAAACTCAATCCTACTCCCACTTAGCTTAAAACACTTTAGGCTCTAACATTTATTTTGCAACTCAAATTTAAATTAAATACTGATTAAATTCTCACCGATCAAAGTAATATAAGCAAACAACAAAATAACATGAAAATATATGACGTCCCGATTCAATCGCATGCTAGATGTGTGAGGATGGATATGATTGTATATAAGACTAGATGTGATGGTTATTAACTTCGGGTTAAGTATGGCTATGTGATTTCCCATAGATGGAGCTGAAGATATGACACGGTGTGGAGCTACTACTGTACTGAACCTTACATGACCTTACCATACATAATTTTAGGCTAGGAGTTGGAACTTTCGACTTTTGACGGGGAGTTAAGCTTTCGAGAGAGGAAAATTGTAACAACCTGATTTGGTTTTCCATTATAGGTAGGGGATGGAAGCGATTCTATATAGGACTAAATGAGGTTACCTTAATTGACTTAGGTTTATGCATTTTGGACCATTTGGTTCTAGACCTTCCAAGTTAGTGGGTCAGGTTTTCCTATCGAATTAGGACATGACAAAATACATCTTGTATATTGCCAGTAATTTTGATTTAAAAAATTCAATCCTTGTTCATACATGATATCTTCTAGAAGCGAACCAAATAATTATGTTGAAAGACTAACTATACTCTATGGCCTTTGCTATTAGCACACTACATAATAAGTATCATGTCATATGTTGATACTCTCTCTATGACTTCGACTAAAACACTTATATTGGACCATTCTAATTATTCCCTTCTTTTATATGGTAAGCCCCTTAAAAAGTTGTAAATTAATTTATTTTCTTCTCAATCTCTTCCTGTTGCATCCAACTTGTTTCTTTTGATTCTTTCTTCTATAGAAATGAGTATTAACATCTACCTTCGAGACATGAAAAATCAAAGCCCCACGATTAATATTGACAACTGAAGTGAGATAACTCTTCTTACATCCTTTCATAGGCAACTATCAACATACACAGACATAGTCCAAATTAAAAATCTAAAATATGAGCTTTTTCTGCTAGCATGATAGTAAATTCATGAACTGTCTTCATCCAATTTCAACAGGTAACCCTTTCAGATGCTGCTGCAAGGGCGTGCACACACTGGGTCAACAGTCACAATATGATGGGTGACAACTAAGAAGCAAAATCATGAAAGATCTTCATCCTGTAATGTATTGAATGTACCTTATAAAGGTGGGCAATCTCATATCAGACTTGGTGGATTCTCTTCCAATACCTTATCATCCACCAATACTTTTGTTCTACAATATCAAACCCATTAAGGATCTTAAATCCATACTTGAATAGTGAAACACCTATAGAAGTGATCCGATAGGAGTGAGCAGCTAATCTGGATAAACAAGAATTCCAAAGATTATTAGCTCCAACATGATCAACAAAATTCTCGTCTGATCTCACTACCAAAAAGCGATCCAATAGTAGTTATCAGCTAATTTAGACAAACAAGAATTGCAAAGTTTATTAGATCCAACACAATCAACAAAATTCTTATCCGATCTTACTATAAACTTCATTCATCCCAATCATGTATGTATTAGATCCAACACAATCAACAAAATTCTTATCCGATCTTACTATAAACATACTCAAACAATCCCAATCATGTATGTATACCAACAATAATATTCCCATTTTAAAAAAATAAAAAGCAAAAACCATGGCACAAGGGTGACACTGACAACATCTACTATTCTATAACTACTATTCGGTTTAGAGAATCCGTCGACACCTCTGACACTAGAGCTTCAAGGTGGAAGATCTTAATCCCCATTGTTTACCTCATGGCCCTGTAGATTACCAAATTACGAGCAAAGAAATCTAAAAGATCTCTGCTAATGCTGGTGATAAAGCAACAGTTGCTTCACCATCAATTCAACAGCAAGCAAACCGTTTGATCTCGAATCACACTCGCCAAAGAGATGATAATGTAATCGATCAATGCATGACTGGGCATATGATGCAGAAATTGAAGTTCGCATTGAATCTAAATGTGAAGGGCACGAACAGATCGATATACGTATCTTGAAAGGCGAGACAGTATAGCAATCGTAATCTAAATATAACAAAACCTAAATCCATGACATCTTCGATCGGAGATTGCCGCTAGGATTGTTTAGAGAGAAAATTTTCCTGTTCTTAGGCAGGTGATAGTAGCTAGGATTTCCTTCGTTCATGGTTGAGAGAGAGAGAGAGAGAGAGAGAGAGAGAGAGAGAGAGAGAGAGAGAGAGAGAGAGAGAGAGGGAGGGAGGGAGGGAGGTATTGGAACTGAAGTGATGTACCTCGATTCATAAGGAACCAAGGGACGGCGAAGACAGCCGAGATGACGGCGATGCCAGCGAAGACGTGCTTCTTGTCGCCGCTATATAAGTAGTGCTCCAGCCGAGCCTTAAAACCCCCTCCTCCTCCGCCACTACCGCCAGTGGTTTCAGCGGCGCCGCCCCCCATTGCCCTCTCGCTCCGTCCTGCTGCTCCGCTCTCGCCGTCGTAGACCAAGAAAGCAGCCGCACTCGGAAACCCTCCCTCGCGCTGAGTCGCTTCCTTGTCGATCCCAACCGAGCCACATTTGGATGAGTCCACTCGCCGCTTTCCGGATTCGGATTTCAACAATTCAACCCGAATAGAGTCGGATCCGGATTCACCTTCTGGACCCGATACCGAACGTTGAACCCCAACATCGGATTCCCAAATCCCCAAGAAAGGTACTCGACCGTTGCTCGCCTGCTGCAACAAAAATGCACGCCTGTCTCTGAGCCTTCTCCAACGGCTACTGCCTCGTCCTCTTCCTCTCCCTCGCTTTAAGTAGAGCTCGAGTGTCCTCAGTCAGCACGTCAACCAATCTTTTTCTTTGCTCCCGAGAACCTCTTCTCTCTACTGCTCTCGATGGCGTCTTCGAGATCTTCATCGCTCGTCTGCATCGCCCTTCTTCTCGTGAGCATTACCAGCTCCGAAGCAAGAGACTTCTTGGTCGGAGGCAATGTCAACGCGTGGAGAGTCCCACCCACCACCACCGATTCCCTCAACCAATGGGCCGAGAAGAACCGGTTCCAAGTAGGCGACTCCCTCGGTAATCTTCTCTCATCCTTGCGTCCTTATGAACTCTGGTGAAGAGAAGCGAAGAACTAACCCTCAGGGGACCTCCGGCCGATGTTCCCTTCCTGCGCAGTTTGGAGGTACGACGCCGGAAAGGACTCTGTGCTGCAGGTGACCAGGGAGGCGTACCTGAGCTGCAAAAAGACGAGCCCGATAGCGGAGCACAAGAACGGGGCGACCGTGGTGGAGCTGCATCGGTCGGGGGCGTACTACTTCATCAGTGGGGCGGAAGGGGCGTGCGAGGAGGGGGAGAAGCTAATCGTGGTCGTGATGTCGGAGCGGCACTCGCTTCGCGGCCTCGCTCCGGCTCCCTCCCCCGCAGAGTACTCCGAAGGCCCAGCGATCGCACCAACCAGCGGCGCTTCGAGGATGGAGAAGGTCCTGAAGAGTAGCGTTGCAGGCGCTCTGCTGGTTCTGGGGATTGTACTGTGACAGAGAGTGACTGCGTTAGTTAGTCCTTGGTGATGCGCATCATGAGTCTTGATGTATGGTTCTTACATTCTTTTATTCGACATATATAGTTTATTATTTGTGAGCTATACGTCATGAATTGAGATTATATTACACGTCGTCTGCAATCTTTCTTGAACCGTAAGCCATCACCTTCCTCGCCTCGGCTCACGTCCGATGGCCGCGCGTCCACGGGGAACGGGTCAAACGGCGACGTGTCACATGCAGCATGCACTCGCAGCGGGGAGAGGATGGGGAAGGGGCCCCGCCGCCGGCTGCGGCGACGCCGGTGGGATCCACCGAGGTGCTGCAACAGCGGCGGAAGTTGCCGCACAGGCCCACCACCATGGCCGTCGGCGGTTTCCTGATCGTCGCCGCCATCGTCCTTGTGAGTGGAATCGTCCTTGTGATCCAAAGCTCTGCAAACCTTTCTTCTTCTTTCTCATCTATAAGTTTGAATAAGTCGTCAAGCTTTTTGTCACCCTGTATGATGAATTAATCTGGTCTTTTTCCCCCTAATAATTGCGACGACCATTCCCTCAGCAAACTCTCTGATCAAACAGGATCGACATCCCCAAGCAATGCAAATTCATTAAGAACAGAATCATGAGTTTAACCATCCTTGTGCTGCTAAATTAAGAACAAGGCCCTCTTCAACAATGATCATAAAAAATTGTACAATTTGCAGCATGAGTTCTATTTGTCATTACTTATATTTCCATCATAATATAGGTCTTCACAATGCAAAAAAATAAAAAGATAATATCTTCCTGTGTAACCATCCAACTTGTTCTTTGGAAAAAGGTTTGGATTGACTTCTATGCTAAATGTAGAGTTAACATGATCGAGTTCCTAAGACAAACCTACTAGTCTTTGATGCCTCGCATCCCTCATGTCCTGGTGAAGATTACAGTTCTACAAATAAAAAGATGGTCAGTTAGATAGCAATAAAGTGACTTGATAGATGGATTATGGGAAAGCATACAGCAATTGCAACAAGGACTATGCAGAAGCAACAAGAAGCACTTTGAAATGAAAAGTTCTAAGCTGGTCTCGGAAAATAAGAACAATGATACAATTCGAGATCCAGAGAATCGGTAAAAACAAAAAACTAAGAACAGCAGTTGTGAATCCTGTGCCAGTTTCAATCACAGGTAAATACATTTAGACCAGTGATTTGTGTTCATTGAAATGGATCGATACCGATTTAATTTACAATAACAACAAACAACAACAACAAAGCTGTCCCAATTATTTAAGATCGGCTACATGGATCTTTTACTATTATTAAGATCGGTGAATTATAATGAAATGATACAATGCAATACAAACACCTCCAGGTTGCTTGTAAAAAGAGATGATCCATTGTACTGCTGCATCAAAGGAAATGAAATAACCAATAGCAAAAATTAAGATATTCCTGATTGGACAAATATTTGAACTTCAGTGGATTATGATTTGCCAAAATGTTTGACAGAATAATACAATAATTTATTAAAAAAAAAGAAATACAACTATGATGTGTATATATTGGATAATAATAATAAAGGATAAACCACTCTTTACATAAACCAAATGACATGCTAGTTGGAAGTTGCACCATAAATTCTACTGAAACAGAATTAATCTTGAAATATGATGGCAGGCCTTGAATGATTCAGTTAAACCTGCAAAGATGAAGTCTGTAGTTGTCCTGTTGGAAAGAACTTGATTCTTGATTCTAGACACTGGGTTCTCCCTCCTGATTCACTATTGAATCAGCATATGGAAGGTCGATAGATGGGGACAGGTGATGCCTTAGAGAATAAATAGGAATGACTAGGGTGAAGGGAAGATTGAATCCTCCAAAACCTATTTCAGTGGTGCCCCTCTCATTATGCTCACAAATAAAGTGGTCTGCAAACAGTGTTGTTCATGACTGCAGATATTTTTGAAATCACTACAGTGTGGGGAAATAAGCGAAACATCTGAAACCAAGTTGCCACCGAATGGATCTGCCACCATTTACATTGCTCTGCTGAATGTGTCATTTAACACCACACTTGGTGAAAATATTCATATTTATTGTCACTACAAACAAAGTTATCTAAAACTTCCTGTCCATTATTAAATACAGCATAGCATTTCATGAATGAACAAAAGAACTTAAACCATACATTTCCTGCAAAATTTGGTTCCGCAACTTCTAAAGCATATTGAGCAATCAAATTTGAGCCACAAATGCAAAGGGCCTTGTTGAACAAACTTATACAAAGCATTAGAATAATTATCATGTTGGACCTTTTATTATGAGATTACCATGTTGAATTTTGATGTCCTCCTAAGCACCAATATACTTAAAGGTCATTGTGAATTACAGCCAAATTCATGAGCTTACAAAAAAAATTTACATATGGTGCCAAATAGATGATGGTTCTCTCATTTAAATTATATGATATAGTATCAAATAGGCAAGGGTTCTCTTACTGTTTTGAACCAATGAAAGTTAGTAACTCGGAAGTAAAGAAGTTAGTCAAAAAATAGAGGATTAGATTAGTAAATTGAAATATATGAATACTTTTAGAGAAGAGATTAGAATCGGTAAACATTATGATCAGAAGTAGAATAAATATTATTTGCTTATAAGAGATTAAGTGAATAGGGGAAAAATCTAGAGAGATTGATAGTATTGGATTTAAAATTTGGTATATTAAAAAGTTAAATACAAAAATAGTGTATGAATTGTTATTGATAAGGATCTTAAAAGCAATATTGTAGATGTAAAAAGATTTGGAGATAAAATTATAGTTCTAAAATTTGTGAAAGAACAAAATTTTTTTAATGTCATTGATGTTTATGTCTCTCAAATCGAATTGGATGATCAAACCAAAAGAGAATTTTGGAAAAGATTAGATAATATCATTCAAGGAATGCCTATAACAAGAAAACTTTGAGGAAATTTAAAGTAGGGAAAACATATAGTGAATATAAAAAGATGCATGTGAACTTTGGTTATGGGGATAGGAATACAGATGAAAGTATGATTTTAGATTTTGTAACTTTATATAATTTTATAATTATAAATACTTATTTTAAGAAGAGAGATAAATATCTAATTACTTATAAGAGTAGTCATAATTATCGTTAAATAATTTTTTTTCATAAATAAAGTTATTTATAAGAATTGTAAAGTTATACCTATCGAAAGTTTGACAAATCAATATAGGTTAATGGTATTATATATTTATTATAGAGAATAGAAGAAAAGAAAAATAGAAAAAACTACTAGGACTAAATGGTAAAATTTTAAAGATGATAATATAAATACTTTTAACAATAAAATGAAAATGGAGGCAACTTGAATTTAGATGAGGATAATATTAATACTATTTGGACTATAATGACTAATAAGATTAAAAGCTTTAATAAAAGAGTTTCTTAGTGAAACTAAAAGTAGAGGTGTAACCTTAAGATAGAGTTTATGGTTGTATGAGAAAGTTAAAAAAATAATTTTTACTAAAAGATCATGTTTAAAGATTAGCAAAAATCATAAAAATGAGAAAAAAAATTAAAAGATATAAAGAATCTAAAAAAAGATTTAAAAACGATTAATATGATAAGATATAAAGTTTATGATAATTTTTAAATTAAATTAGATACTAAAAATTATGAAAAAGATATATATTAAATTGTTAAAGCTAGGGAAAGAAAGTGCAACGATTTAGAAAATATTAGATGCATTAAAGACAAAGATCAAATAATACTTGTTAATGATAATGAGATTAAGAAACGATAAAAATTTATCTTTAGAAATTGTTTAATAAATATTTTACATAGGACTTAGATTTGATAATAAATAATAGTGGAAGATTCAATAATCATATATTTATTCATAAAGTTAGAGTTAATGAAGTAAAAGACACATAAAAAAAGAAAATAACTAAAAATGTAGTGCTTGATGATATCCCTATTAAGGTATTAAAAAAGTTTAGAGGACAAAGGAGTAACTTGGTTAACTAACTTATTTAATAAAATCATAAAATTCAAAAAAATACCTAATGAATATAAAAAAAATTTAGTGCTAATTTATAAATATAAGGATGACATACCAAATTGTTTAAATTATAGAAAAATTAAAATCATAAGTCAAACCCTAGGAAAGAGTTATCAAAATAGGATAAGACTTGAAACAAAAATCTTTAAAAATCAAGTTGGTTTATGCTTCAAAAAGATAACTATAGAAGCTATTTATCTATTAAGATAATTAATGAAAAAGTATAGAGAGAAAAAAAATTTGCATATGATTTTTATTAATTTAGAGAATGCCTATGATAGAGTTTATTATGGTAGGTTTTAGAAAAAAAAGATGTATCCACTAATTATATTAACATTATTAAATATATGTATGATAATATAGCTACTAGTATTAGAATTATATGGAGTGTGTCTAGTAAATTTTTTATTAGCTTATGATTATACTAAAGATCCACATTAAGTCTCTACCTTTTCACATTCATAATAGAAAAACTTACTAATCACATATATAACAGACATCTCTTGTGTATGTTATTTATTGATGATATTATCTTAATTAATAAAAGTCTAAGTGAAATTAATTATAAACTTGAGTTACAAAGGCCAACCTTAGATTAAGTAGAACTAAGATCGAATACATAAAATATAATTTTAGTGATTTTAGATATAAACAAGAGAATATAGTTAAATTGGATGGATAAAAAATCCTTTGAGTAAAAACTTCAAGTATCTTGGATTAATTTTTGAATAAGATAAACAGATTAATAAAAATATTATTCATAGAGTAAAAACAAGAAGGCTAAAATGATGAGAGTCAAGAACCTAGCAAATGATGAGCGGGAGAAAACAACAAAAGCTAAGATGGGGCAAGTGACCACCACCACCAACCTAGCAAAGATAAAAACAACAAAAGCTAGATGGAGAGATTAAGTGCACCTGAGAGATACGAGCGATGATTCATTGGCTTCTTTCCACAAAAGCTTGTCGAGATGAATCGATCAGGCATGGGGAAGGGCAACAAAGCTCAACCCTTTTACGCTCGTCGCTGGCTCATGGAGAAGAACAAACATGAAGGCTGTTAATACTAGCTAATTCCTAAACACGGACTCAATGTTGAACTTGATAGGAAGAGGGGATAGAGATATCCAACAGAGGAAGAGTAGGACAAGCTTAAATCTTCTATATTTCTCTCAACAAAAACTCCTTATAATTTCAGAAAACTCTCTCTTTCATGACCCAACATATGGGGTTTATATAGTCCCCAAAGATATATTACATTAATTGTATTCAAGATGAATTATTCTCTTTCAAGAAACCCTTTCAAGAACCAATAACCAATTTGACTTATCTCCCTCTTGATGCAATGAACCTTTCTTTTAATGAAATGAACCTCTTTATGATACTTGAACAAGTTTACTTCCAACATTCTCCCTCTTAAACTTGTTCCATCTAGCATGCCAAGTTTCATTCGAAGTTGTTGAAATATTTCAAATTTGAGAGGTTTTGTAAGTATATCAATCACTTGTTCACTTGTCTTGACATGATGTAGCTCCACTTTTTATTTTTGATATGATCTCTTATGAAATGAAATCTTGTATCGATATGCTTCGATCTTTCATGATAAACTGAATTCTTGGCTAAGGCAATAGCTGATTTGTTATCAACATAAATCTTGGTTGACTTCTCTTGTGGCATATGAAGTTCTTGGAGTAATCTTCTTAGCCAGATTGCATGACAAACACTAGAAGAAGCTGCTATATATTCTGCTTCACAACTTGATAGAGTAACGATCTATTGTTTTTTTGAAGACCAAGTGAATATAGCTTCACCAAAATAAAATATAAATCCAGTTGTACTCTTCCGATCATCGTAGCTTTCGGCCCAATCACTGTTACTATATCCAATAAGCTCCAACTTTTTAGATGATGTATAGAACATTCTATACTTAATTATTCCTTTAATATATCGTAAAATTCTTTTAGTGATATTTAAATGAGATATCTTAGGAACTTCCATATATCTACTTATTAAACCAACTCCAAATAGTATATCAGGTCGAGTGCATGTCAAATACCTTAAACATCCAACTAGACTTTTATAATAAGTTGGATTAATGTATTTACATTCACCTTCCTTAGTCAACTTGTGCCATATTCAACAGGTGTATCTGTAGGATGACAATCTTCCATAGAAAACTTCTTTAAAACCTCCTTTGCATAATTTTCTTGTGAGATAAAAATTCCTCCATTATCTTGTGTAACTTCGATACCAAGGAAATAAGTCATTAAGCCCAAGTCGGTCATCTCAAACTCCTTTTTCATAGAGTACTTAAAATCTTTAATCATAGAGCTACTATTGCCTGTAAATATTAAATCATCTACGTACAGACATACAAATAAGATATCTCCATTAGAGTTAGATTCTGTATAGAGAGCATGTTCATGTGGACATTTAGAAAAATCATTTTGAATAAAATAAGCTTCTATTCGAAAATTCCATGCTCGTGGGGCTTGTTTAAGCCAATAAAGAGTTCTCTTTAACTCGTATACTTTGTGTTCTTGTTCGTGAATAATAAAATCATGGGGTTGTTGAATATATACCTCTTCTTCAATAACTCCATTAAGAAATACTGATTTGACATCCATTTGTAAAAATTTTTATTTCATTTGAGCTGCTAGAGAGATAAGTAATCTTACTGTCTCCAATCGAGCAACTGGCGCAAATACTTCTTCATAGTCAATCCCATATTGTTGTTTATATCCCTTTGCAACTAATCTGACCTAATATTTCTCCACCTCTCCTTTTGCATTTCTTTTTGTTTTGATGATCCACTTAACACCGATAGCTTGGTGGTCTTTTGGAAGTGTAGTAAGCTCCCATGTATTATTTTTGTTAATTGCATGAATCTCTTCATTCATAGCTTGTCGTCATTTTTCATCTCTATAAGCTTTTTCGAAGGTTAATGGATCATATCCTGCAAAAAGACAAAATAAAAGAAAGTTCGTCATTGTTAGTATCAATCCTTCGAGTCACATCATATAGGTCCTGAATCGGTCTTGTCCTTCTTATAATTAGACTTCTTGAATCATATGACCTAGCTGATCTAGGTGATGATTCCAGCAAAGCCACTTCGGTGCTTGTTTGTATTATATCTTCTTCTGAAGTTGTAGCTTTCTTATACTGCTCATCACTTTTCCAATTCCAAATCTATTGTTCATCAAACTCAACATCTCTTGACATCACAACTTTATTTGTGATAGGATTGTAGAGTTTGTAACCACTGGAATTCTCTGGATAACCTAGCAAAATGCATTTCTGACTTTTATCCTCCAATTTTGTTCTCTTTTCTTTTGGTATCTTGGCAAATGCAATACTTCCAAAAATCCTTAAATGATCAACTCTTGGTTTTTATAAGCTTCATGCTTCTTCTGGTGTAACATTACCAATTCGCTTTGTTGGAAACCTGTTAAGCAAATAAATTGCACAAGCAACAACATCACCCCAAAATTCTTTCGGAATTTTTCTTTCCTTTAATATGCATCAGACCATATTAAGGATAGTCCTATTTTTTCTTTCTGAGACACTATTTTGTTGAGGTGTGTATTGCATGGTGAATTGATGTAGAATTTCATTATTTTTATAAAAACTTTCAAATTCATTTGATATATATTCACCACCCCTATTTGTTCTTAAACATTTAATCTTACAATAACTTTGTCTTTCAACCAAATCCTTAAATTCTTTGAATTTGCTTAAAACTTTTTTCTTTTCTTTTAACATGTAAACCCAAGTTTTGCCACTATGATCATCAGTGAAGGTAAGAAAATACCTACTTCCTCCAAGTGATACTGGATTGATAGGGCCACAAACATCTGAGTGTACCAGATCAAGTCGATGTCATGCTCTTTTTGTTCTTCTCACTTTGAAAGACTTTTTTTCTTGTTTATCCATCACACATACTTTACATAATTTTGATGGGCGATCAATTTTTGGTATTCCTATCACCATATTATACTTCTCTAGAAGTTTCAAAGCCTCAAAATTTAAGTGAGCATATCTAAGATGTCAAAGTATAGAAATATCCTCAATATCAGCTTTAAAATAATTTGATTGATCAAAAATACTTAAATGCAGAGGACACATTTTATTCTTTGTCATTTTCACATGTGATATCAATGTTTTATTCTTATCACGAATTGAGAGAGTCATATCTTTCATCTCAATATCATAACCTTTTTCAAGTAATTATCTCAAGATTAAAATATTATTTTTCATATCAGGAACATAATAAACATCTGAAATGTATAATTTCTTGCCATTATTAAGTTCAAGGAGAATTTTACCTTTGCATCTTACTGGTCTTTAAGACAAATCACCAAATGTAATGTTCCCGGAATAACTTGTATTCATTTCTGAAAATAACTCTTTGATGCCACACATGTGATTTGAGGCTCTTGTATCTAGATACCATGTCATAGACTGATCCTCTTTCAAATTATCATAACTCATTAGCAAAACTTGATTTTCGTTCTTTTATTCCTCAACAAAATTTGTCTTATCACCTTGATTGTTAGGATTATAATAACATTCATAAGAGTAATGTCCATACCTTTTGTAAATATAGCATTGTATTTCAGATCTTTTAGAGTTTCTACCACGTCCACGGCCACGTCCTCGACCATAACCTCGGCCTCTTTGGCTAGAATTTTCTCCAACATTTTCATTGTTTGGAGATTCTTGGTTGGTCTGATTTCTGACTCCTCTTCCTCTTTGTCCTCGTCCTCTTCCTCTTTGAGAATTTGATTCTCTTTTATTTTCAAGAGCAAACTTAGCTTGTAGTGCTTGCTCCGTAGTTTTGTCTTCTCCTCTTTTTGTAATCCTTTGTTCATGAACTTGAAGGGAACCCATAATTTCTTCTAAAGACATTTTTTTCAAATCTTTAGATTCTTCAATCGCAACAGCAATAAAATTAAATTTATAATCTAGAGATCTCAATATTTTTTCTATTACTCTCTGATCATTTATTTGTTCACCATTTCGTCTCATTTGATGAACAATAGAAATGATTTTTGAGAAGTAATCAGAAATAGTTTCAGAAGTACCTTATTGTAATTTTTCAAACTCGGCTCGTAAAATTTGTAGACAAAGTTTTTTTACCTTATCAACACCACCAAATGCCTTTTGAAGTATTTCCCGAGCCTCCTTTGAAGTATTTGCTGGAGCGATGATCTCGAATAGTGAATCATCAAACCCTTGGTAGATCGTGAACAAAGTCTTTTTCTCTTTCATCCTTCTTTCTTTGAGTTGTTTTCTTCCTTCTGCATTCATTGCTCCTTCTTCTGCTGGACTTGGTTCAACAAATTCATCTTTTACGAACTCTCATACATCTTGGGATCCTAGAAGAACCTTCATTTGGATGCACCATATGTCATAATTTTTTTTTGTCAATCTGGGGATCTAGAGTTAGATGTCACTTCAGGAAGAGGTCATAGCTTAACCTATGCTCTGATACCAAATGTTGAACTTGATAGGAAGAGGGGATAGAGATATCAAATAGAGGAAGAGTAGGACAAGCTTAAATCTTCTATATTTCTCTCAAGAAAAACTCTTTACAATTTCAGAAAACTCTCTCTTTCATGACCCAACATATGGGATTTATATAGTCTCCAAAGATATATTACATTAATTGTATTCAAGATGAATCATTCTATTTTAAGAAATCGAACCAATAACTAATTTGACTTATTCTTTCATAGATTTTTAATCTATTTTTTCTTCTTGATGTAATGAATATCCCTCCTGATGCAATGAACCTTTCTTTCGATGAAATGAACCTCTTATGATACTTGAACAAGTTTACTTCCAACACTCAAGCACCAAACATCATCAAGCAAAGAAAAGACAAGCAGCAAAAACAAACACACACACACTGAAAGAAAGAAGTAAAAATCTCATCGTCCGAACCAAGAAACTTTTCTCTCTCTAAAATAATGCAAAAATATGGAATCCTTGTGTGATAAGATGGTCTTAAAAGGGAAACAAGCCGCAAAGAAGAAGGCAGAAAGCAGAGATGCTTACGAGCAGCGAGTCTTTGTTCAAGTTGGCAAAGTAACAGCCCATCAAGGTGGTGAGGAAATGGTCTCGAGCGCAAACGAAAGAAAACACAGTTAGATGGCCAGGAATGGACGATGGTGGGCATGAACCTCGGGGAGCACCTTCTCTCCGCGGATCCTCACAGCTTGAATCCATGTTTTGTTGAAACGCTCCAAACCCTATCCGCAACAGGCAAGAGAAAAGGAAAGGAGAGGAAAGCAAAAGCAAGAAGGACGACAGAAAATGCGACATACAAACCACAGCAATGATGGAGCAAAGTGACCACCACCACAAACCTAGCAAAGATTAAAGCAACAAAAGCTAGATGGAGATTAAGTGTACCTGACAGATACCAGCGATGATTCATTGGCTTCTTTCCACAAAAGCTAGTCGAGATGAATCGATCAGGCATGGGGAAGGGCAACAAAGCTCACCCCTTTCCGCTCGTCGCTGGCTCATGTAGAAGAACAAACATGAAGGCTGTTAATACTAGCCATGATTCCTAATCACGGACTCAACCACTCAAAAAATTGCCATTATCGTCACCAAACATCATCAAGCAAAGAAAAGACAAGCAGCCAAAAAAAATAAAACACAGGAAAGAACGAGAGAAAGAAAAAAAAATCTCATTGTCCGAACCAAGAAACATTTCTTTCTCTAAAATCATACGAAAATATGGAATCTTTGTGTGATAAGATGGTCTTAAAAGGGAAATAACCAGCAAAGAAGAAGGATGAAAGCAGGGATGCTTACGAGTCGTGGCGAGAGCAGCGAGTGAGTCTTTGTTCAAGTTGACAAAGCAACAGCCCATCAAGGTGGTGAGGAAATGGTCTCGAGCGCAAACGAAAGAAAAAACAGTGTGATGGTCGGGAATGGACGATGGTGGACATGAACCTCCGGGAGCACCTTCTCTCCACGGATCCTCACAGCTTGAATCCATGTTTTGTTGAAACGCTCCAAACCCTATCCGAAACAGGCAACAGACATGGAAAGGAAAGGAAAGCCAGCAAGAAGGACGACAGAAAAGATGGGAGAACACCAAGAAGGAGAGTGGAATTGGTCAAACAGTGTCTTCCGGTGAGGCGGCACAGCCTGCTTCAAGGTGTAGTACTGTACTCTTTCTATTCTCTCTCTCCGGCTTCATTACAAACAGGGCAGAGACGGACAATACCACTCCCTCATCCATCGCTCTCTCTCTCTCTCTCTTACTTCCCTTTTCAACAGACGCGATTATTCCTACAATTTCCCAATTTCTAGAACTTTATAAGCATTAATGAAAGGAAAGAGCGAAAACCGGAGAGGCAATTAAGCACGCGCTTCTTCACCCACGCAAATCCGTCGAGCTGATAGGCAGATAGGATATGACTGACAGCGAAGCGAAGCAAAGCAAAACATCGCAACGCGGCCGCCGAAACACTGACGAAGTAAAAGGCAGCCTCGTTAGACACGTTCAATCACTCTCTTTCTCCACCTCCCTCTCTCTCTCTCTCTCTTCTCCGGTGGGAGGGGAGCGCATTTTCAAGTATGATCACAGAAGAAATAACAGCGAAAGGTTGACAACAAGAGATTTGAGCACGCAACGGAAACAGCACCCCGTCATGCCATTTACCCCCGGCGTGTGCTCACTCTCTCCTGTCAACCTGCTTCGCTTCGCATCCCTTCTCAAACCCCGTCATGCCAAGTGCAATCCACCCCTCGAGATTACATCCCCTTCCCATATCCCTCTCCCCCTACTTTCTCCACAGCCCCCTCCTATCACACTGTGTAGCTGTCCACGTCCTAAATAGAGGGAGGGGTGCGGGATTAGAGGAGCGATTAGTATTAATTTAGAAATATATTTGAAATGCTTATTGAGATCAATGTAAATTAGTATTCAATAATTTTTTAAATCATATTTAATTTAAATATTATATTAAAAAAAATACTTAAATACTAATATTATCGTAAGATAGTATTATCATCTCATTATTTACGAGATATTAATATATTTTTTTATTCAAAAAGTACTTTATGATTTTATCTAAAATTATCAAAATGATTTAGTGATAACTGCGATGATTTATATTTTTTATAAGATAAATTTTTATTTATTTTTAAAAAAATATTTTTATTTATTTATTTATACAAATATATTTATTATATATATATATATATATATATATATATATATATATATATATACATATATATATTGATTTAGTGATACCGATCAAGGTAGGTTGACAATATGATGGGTCCCATTGACATGATAATATCTTTCCTTTTTTAAATAAAAAATTATATAAATATTAAATAATGTTAAATGAAATAAAATAGAACCCACCAAATAATCCCAAGAGGTTAAAAAAATTCACAGCATAATAATGTTCTAAAAGTTGGAAAAAAGTTTGAATTGATTTGTTAAAAATTAACTTGAGTTCAACTCAATTGCATAATCAATCCAAAATTTTCATATTTGAAAACTAAATTATCCTAAACTTATAAGAAAGCAGAAAAAATAATACTATGTCTTAAAATCACATGCTAGTAGTTTTGGAAAATGTTGCATTGGTTTGATTAAAATTAACTCTAATTATACTCAAACTATTCTAGATCACATATTCAACACAAAAATACTATTTAAAAAAACTATTCATCCTAAATTTATATATAAATAAAAAATAAATATATTATATCTCACCCTAATAGTTTAAGAGAAGTTTGGGTAAGTTTAATAAAAATTTAAAGATTATACTAGATCACAGATTTAATAAAAAAAATATTATATCTTAAAAATTAATTATTCTAAATTCATATAAAAAAAGTGATAATAACATATTAATTTCTTACCCTAGTAGTTCAGGATAGTTTATAGGTTTGATGAAAATTCAAAGAGCCATACTCCGGTTACACTTGATCATAACCTCAATATAAAAATATAAATTTTAAAAATTAATTATCCTAAATTATTATTATTATTATTATATTAGCATCTCACTCTAGTAATTCAAGATAAGTTTGGATAAATTTGATAAAAATTTAAAGCATTATACTCAATCATAAATTAGGCATAAAATATCTTATTTCAAAGCTTAATCACCCTAAATTCATACCAAAATATTATAAGTGATAGCAATATATTAACATCTTCACTCTAGTAGTTCAGGATAAATTTGGATAGATTTAAGGAAAATTGAAGAGAGGTTCACACGATCACATATTCAAATTTTCTATTTGAAAATTAGAAAATGATACTAAGTATATTACTATTTTACTTTAGTAGATCCGAAGAACTTTAGATAAATTTGACGAAGATTTAATTGCATTCGATTCACCCAAAAAATACTCTCTTTAAAATTTTATTCACCCTAAAATCATAAAATAAAAAAAATAATATTAAATACTTTAAAATGATATACTAATAATTTTGGAGAAATTTGGATTGATTTGAATAAAATATATTGATCACACTTGAGATACATTTGCTCCTAAATTCAACAAAATCTAACTTGATCAAATCCAAATCGTCCGTATTGGGCCAAATCGATCTATCCATATGGCTTGAAATAACCTAATTCAAAAATATTATTATTTAAAAAATATATCCCTTGAAAAAAAAGTTATCATATATTGGGGCATGCCCAATACTTTCAGCTTTTCTGATAAATTATCCAATTAGTTTTGCCTTTATGGGTGCCGTTTTGTTCCCACCGCTTTTTCTCCTTGCATTCTTCCATACTTTATGGTGCCTTTTCTTCTCTCCTTTGTTTCCCCACAGATGAAACAGAATCTTTCGGAAGAATAGGATGTACTTAATCGAATCGCTTTTGTTGTTCTTGACAAACAAATGCTGGTTTGGATACCGGCATCACTCTTGCTTCCAGTACACGTACGTCAAAGCTTTATGGACGCAAGACCAGAATAATATCTTATCCGCAACTTTAGTCGCGATTCGGCCCTCCCCTCCTCTGTCCTCTCTCCTAACCATCGAGTCACATCAAACTTTCGTGGCCAAATTCGTGAGTTGCATCAGAAATATATCTATTGCCTTGCCCGTGAGAGTGGCGCCATTCACCGTGCCAACGCGACGTTCCTCACGACCATGTTAGAAATTTTAATGAAGCCAACTTGTGTTTCTAAATCGTTGTAATAGAAACACAATAAAACTAATGCGGAAATGAAATAGCGTACCTCCAGCCATTGTCGCCAAGAATTTCTACAGAGGTTTCTTCTTGAACTTTGGTTCTTCTCGGCTCAGAACTCTCGCTTTAGATGGTGTAGGAAAGCCTTTCGCTTCAAAGAGATGATTGAGCCAAGGGACCAAAATCCTCATGTATATATAGATGTTCTCCCATCAAGAACATTTATCATCACCAACTCATAACGTTCAAGAATTAATTCAAATTTGTAACGTTTGGATC